ATTTTAAATGGTGGCCATTCACATCTGACCATCATGTCATTTGTAGCTCAAAGCTTAATTTGGGGCAGAATGGAGTATGTATGGTCCCACAGACTTGTGTGGGAGCGCCATGGGTTTACGTAGACAATATGAACATACACATTTTTTAGGAGTTCCATTTAAAAGTTTAAATGCGGTTTTCTGCTCCTGTATTAAAAGACGCACATATAAGCAGGCAAAAACACGCATACAAGCGTGCAAAAACAAGCCTCTAAATCACCTGGCTACTTTTATTTGGAAATGGGGCCTAAACAGAATTTCATATTTCCGACTGATCCCTCTAATTGGGACCACAGTTTTAGAACTAAATTATAAGGCAGAAATTGTATTGATATTGGGATTAACTCATTATTGACAAATGCCTCATTTACAACCCATTGAAATCAATGTTTTGCTAATGAGGTAATTTTCAACAAACTGTTAATCACTTGCTAACAAAAGCAGTTGCAAAATATCCTGTATAGGTTATATATAAACTCCAGGAAAAAACTAACCCCTGCAGTGGGGCTACATTGCAAGGGTTGACTGCTCGTTTTGATCTAGTGGCTCCAATAAAATCCTCAGTCCCGCCTGGCTGCTCAACTGGTCGCCGCAGCCTCTTCTCCCCCGGCAGTATGAGCCCTGCTGACATCATCACATCTAATACAGTCCATTTACCTGTATTAGACGTGAAGACACCAAAGGGACATAACACAGCCAGAGCAGAAGGGGAGAGAGCACTCACCACTGCAAGATCGAGGATCAGGTGAGTATATCTTTTGTATTCTGGTCCCTAGACTGAAACGTGCAGTTAGCCCTTACAGTGCGGGGGAAGCCCTACTGCAAGGGTTAATTTGTTTAGGTTCCTACAGTTCCTCTTTAAAGCCCAGAGCTTTGGTTAATCTGCACCTGTAGCTGAAATCTATCTGAAGTCCAACCAATGGGATACAATGTAGTTGTAGTAATACAGTTGTATCCAAGCCCTCAGTTGGGCTTCCCAAGGAGTTGGGAATCTTAACTCGATAAATTGTGTGAATGTTGGTTGTTAGGCCTCATTCACACTAGAAACGGCGGGCAAGTACAGCTCTGTTTAGCGTGCACGGCCATATCAGGCAGCTCCCGGGAAGGACAGGTGCTGCGTGTGATTAGTACGCAGCCCATGTCCTTCTCTATGGGAATGCGCGGCCGTACGCCGCCCTACGCTCACCCGCCCTGCACGTCCGTGCGGGTGTCCGTACTCGTACGCTGACAGGATGGATCCTGTCTGCATCCGAGCCGGGACATTGAGTTTCCAATTAGGTCCGCCTGAAAATCTGACAGGCAGACCTGATCGGAACACTGTGTGAAAGGGTCCTTAGATGGCTCCATTCAAGCACCTGTCCTTCCCGGGAGGGGCCCGATACGGCCGTGCACGCAGCACGGATCTGTACGGGCCGCCCATCTCTCATGTGAATGAGGGCTTTGATTTAATAAGTGTGGAAGGCATATTTTTTTCTCAGCATGATATTTTTGCCAAGTGTTTTATTTTTAACATTTAATGTCTAATTAATTTGATTCAGTTTGACCTAAGTACCCTGTTAGAGATGTACAAAATCGTTTTGATGTAATATGAAATTGGTGCTATATTTAGTGTAGTTATTTCGATTGGGTTTGCACTTCTGTCTCTTTGTTCTAACAAAACTAACAGTTTTTTTTAACTTAAATTGGGTGATTTAGTAGAATTAAAACCATAAATAGTAGAGCAGTGATTTGTTTACATTGTATAAATGTACCCGCTCAATAAAGTAGAAATTGGAATTTAAAGTATGTATACCCTAGCAACGAATTTCTCTTATTATCCCTTTTGGTCTATTAAAAATACCATTGATTTTTTAAATATCTTTTCAATAAGAGCAAAGAAAATAGCTGTTGGCCCTGTCAGAATTCTTGTCAGCTGATTCCTGTTCCCACTTATGTCTGAAGTGGTTAGCACTTCTGTCTTGCAGCACTAGGGGTCCCTGGTTCAAGTCCCGGTCAGGATATTATCTGCAAGGAGTCTGTATGTTCTGCCTGTGCTTGTGAGGTTTCTTTCATGTACTCTCGTTTCCTTCAACACTGTAAAGAATGGAAGGGTAATTGGCTCCTGTCTATATTGGCCCTGTATACGTGTACAATAAGGACCTTAAATTGTAAGCTCCCCGAGGGCAGGGACTGATGTGAATGTGCGCTGTGTAAATTGTCAGGGCTATATAAATACCTGTAATAAATAAGACTACAAACCCCTACCCTTTATGTTATGGTGAAGAAGACAGGGGGAAGTTTCTCTAATCCTGTCCTAGGGTGACAGTGTGTTACTGGCATCAGCAGGTGAAAATAAAGGAAAAAAGCCTGAAAAATGAAGACCAAAGCAGCCGCCACATCTAAGGACTGGTAAGATGCAATAAATTATTGCAGGTTTTTATATAGCACTGACAATATATGCAGCATTTTACATATATTGTACATTCACATTAGTCCCTGCCCTCAAGTAGCTTACAATGTAAGGTTCCTGTCTCATTTGCACACATGCTAGGGCCAATTTAGACAGGAGCCAATTAACCTTGCAGCATGTGGATGGAAAACCATGCAAACTCTATGCAGATAGTATCTGAACTGAGGACCTGAGTGCTACAAGGGAGAAGTGCTAACCACTAGGCCACTGTGCTTCCCAGTTTATATCAGGTTTAGATACACTTTAACTCATGTTAGGAAAAACCTCAGTCCTTACCTATTAAAAGGTTCATATATTTGTACTGTTATGGGAACTGATAGGCCCTAGACAAATTCACTCCAAAAAATCATAAAGCTTGATGGAAGAATAGAGGATTATAACTGTCATTTCCTGTCTAGAAGTAATATTAGCATATCATTAATCTTCAATAACCTGCAAATATTCTGCTGACATACTTAAAGGGAACCTGTCATGCGAGATGAATGGAGTTTACCACTGCTGACCTCTTTCTGAGAAGGTTATTTAAGGGAATAGTTTTAGGACAGTGACTCAGAAAGTGTTGAAGCCAGTGGGTTTACATATTAGCCAGACAAAGGCTGTCCCCATATTTCTCTCATATTGATCAATATGTGGTAGGGCTGGATCAGTAGACATATGAATCAGTTTTGATGTAAATCTAATAAAATGCGGGATGTTTTTTTTTTGGAGGAGAGGTAAACCCTTATAACATTATTTGTGTAGTATCTAGACCTGGTTATGGTCCTAGGCCACTGCCTCTCAGGTCACGATGGTGGGATTGCTCATCTGAAGATCATATCAAACTCAGTGGATTGCAGGTTATATTATTTTACTTACATTTATTGCATTTGGAAATAAATGTATTTATTATTTAATGCAGGGCTGGACAAATCCCTGGAGCCAGTTAGCCAATGCTCCCTAAAAGTGACAGTTGACTCCACCGGGTGAAAATCTCGCGTACCTTGATTGCTGGGCTGGGGATGGACGAGTAAGCCTCTCTAAATTCCTGAAAGGGGTCACGCTGATGTCACTCGCGGAGATGCGTCAGAGGTGGGGGTCATATCCGTTCGATTTCTGGAGGCACAGACAACTGTCGCACTTTGTCCAAACACTGAGGTCCCAGATGCGACCTCTTGACTCTCTTACTCTTTTTGAGGGATTATGTAACGCCCCGAGACCGCCCTCCGGGTCCCTCTCCCTGTTGTATAAGCTTCTTTTGCAGCAGGACTCTCCAGGATCACTTTACTACCTGGCGGAGTGGGAGAGGGGCCTGGGGGTACGGTTCATGGAAGCGGCCAATATCTTTAAATATACTCATTCCTCCTCCATAGACTCCAAAGTCCAGGAAACGAATTATAAGCTACTCACCCGGTGGTACCGTGGCCTACACCGTATATACCCCTCGGTGTCCCCTCTTTGCTGGCGTAACTGTGGAATGATAGGAACTCACCTACATATGTGGTGGGACTGCCCTAAAATCCAACCTTTCTGGCGAGGAATACAGACCGAAATTAAAACTATCCTGGGCATAGAGATGCCTTTCCTTCCGGCCCCCTTCCTGCTTCACTCCTTGCCCAACACTGTGACTTAATATAAATCCAGCCTCCTTCCCCATCTCCTAAACGCGGCCAAACGCTTAATCCCCCGCTACTGGAAAGGGACATTGATTCCCACGGTGGAGGAGTGGAGCGGACAGGTATCGGATGTTCAGGTTTTCGAGGAATGGCTAGCCACATGTAAGGACAAATATGCTAAATATTGCATTATCTGGGCCACCTGGATCCATCGCAATCCGGTGTAGGGATCTATTTTTTTGCCTTGACAAATTGTTCTTTCTTTCTACACCGCCCAGGTAAACCGGAGGGTGAAGTAGAGATGTTTATCCTTCATTACAAACTGAAAGCTCACGTAGATATTATTTTAGTTGACCGTTTGCTATAACAGACCTAGGATGTCTCCCATCCTTGTTTTCTGGCTTCCCTTTACTAACTACCCTACCTGCATTTTGTTTTTCTGCATTGGAGCCATAAAACATTACAACCGCCATCACAGGCACAGTGCTCTGGCTCTTGCAGATTCTTTCTTCAGTCCCTGTCAGTACCAAGGTATGGGCACTCAGTTACATGGGTGGGAGAAATAATTAATCGACTACAATTAGGGTGAAGTCACCACACCTGTATTCCACTGAGAACTACAAGAAGTCCCTCTGCCACTGCTTGCGGGGAGAGCAACCACAATTCAGGTAAGCGGTTGCAATCCAATCTGACATCTGACCATGTTTTATGTTACACCTTAAAATGGATGTAACATGAAACAGGGTCAGAAAGGTAAACTTGGCCTTTAAGGAATAGGTAACAACAGGGGTTCCTGTTTTATTACACCACTGACACAAAATCAAACACTTTTGAACCGAGAGAGAATGTACCACTTGATTCAGTGTTGTATGTTTAACTTGTGATGTCAATGCCAATAACGTTTCTTTTTTTTTTTCTAGATATTTCGTCGAGCTGATAAGAATGGTAAGTAGAAACAATATATTTTTTACTTTTTTTCCACATGGTCTAGTTCTGGAATGTTTAACCCTTGATAAAAAAAATTCCTGTATTTTTCACAACTTTTGAACAATAAAAGCAGTGGAGTGTAAAGAACCTCTTCGAAGAACCAGCTATGGCATTGTACTGTGAAATACTGTATATAATACAGACACTCCTCACTTAATGACCAAGTTCCATTCCAAGTGAAGAATAGAGGAAATCAGCTCTAATATACAGTACATGACTTAGGTTTGCATGCGGTAAATACTAATGTTCAGTACATTAGTGAATACTGACCGACTGCGGGAATGAGACTGAGAAAGAGCAATGCGAGATCAGCTTGACCCATGTTCTTGAACAGTGTACACAACTGACCAGTCGGAGAGCTGGTTCGAAAATCTTGGAACGAACAGAGCCAGCAGCCAAGTAGCTGAATACAATGAAGACAGCGGGACATTCCTAAATTAACGCTCGTAAGCATTGATGGAGGAATTTGTTCTGTTTTTTTTCCTAAAAAAAAAATAGAACAGTGTATTGCCAGTTTTAAAGAGAACTATGGGATAAGTGTTTTTCACCATAGTTCTCCTAAGGGTCACGGGAGGACATATACTAGCGTCCTCCCGTGACTCAAAGCTCAGTATCAGCAAAAAGTTTCCCAGCACACTCACCAGCCAGCATGCAAAAAAACTTGTCTCACCGCTAAGGTTAAAAACAGAGTTTTAGATACACGTCTTCTGCAGAAAATGTAAAAGCCGCACAGCCGCGCCGAGGCACCTCTATATAAGTTTTTTGCATGCTGGCTGGTGAGTGTGCTGGGAAACTTTTTGCTGTTACTGTTTAAAGCCCTTCCATGTGCACCTTGCTGTAAAGCTGGTAACAAACTTATGAGTGTGTTTGCCATTTGTTTTCCAAAGCTCAGTATATCACAGTATAGCTCAGTATATCTCAGTATAGCTCAGTATCACGAGCTACAGCTCACGGTATACGGAGACCGCTGCAGCTGGGACAGATCCCGGCATTACTGGCGAGATCCACCCAGCTGCGCGAGTGACAGCTGGCTTTGCCTATCTAGAGGCAGAGCCAGCTGTACCCGCCCCTCCCCCATCCGTTCCTCCAGTCAGCGCTAGAGGATTGGAGCGGGCACGGGTGGAATCCCTGCGGGGAGCCATGACTGACAGTCACTGCTCTCTGCTCACTTCCCGATCTATTGAGCCGACATGTGACAGTTTCATTGTCACACGTCGGCTCGAACTATGAGGATGAGTAATTTTCACTCACCTCATAGTTCTCCTTTATGTCCAAGCAGTCATTAAAGAGGTAGGTCATTACGTGAGGAGTAGCTGTATACGAGCGCTCTACATATCCGCACATACACAGTGCAATCTTCCTCAGTGAATTAACCCAATTATCCTCTGATGATGGACACACACTCAACTGACCATCCGTCCTAACTGATATGCAGGATAGTGTGGGCCGCTATAAATTCTACTTTTTTGGCCAGGCTTTACCAAAACCGTGCTTGACCCACAGGTATGTCATTTAAATGAAGCTCAGTTTCTTTATACATCACAGTGATTTGTAAACTAACAGGGCCCCTTGACTGCAATGTAGATTATATTATAAGGGTGAACTAACCCTTTACTGTTTATAAGTTTATACAAGATTTGGATTTGTGTGTCACCTTTTTATTGCATCAAATTGTAATTTTTGCAGTAAATATGTAAGAGATAATGGTCTGCATCTTTTGAATAATGAAAGCAGTGGAGTGTAAATAAATTCTTCAAAGAGCCACCTATGGCATTATACTTTGAAATATATCAAATACATTTATCATAATACAAATGTTATATTAAGACTGCTTTAGGAGCTGTGTCATGAGGGAAGAATAAGCCATCAGATAACGAGATAATAGCCACAGAAACGGACTGAAGGCAAACAGTTGAATAGATTAAATATATATATGGGAGCCGTTTTTTTTCCTGCCAAAGGAATTGTATTGCTACTCATCCAATTCTGAGATTTACACAACCCCATCACACAGCACAGCCAATTCAGCTTTAGTACTCTGAAGACTCTGCAATGCCAAGGTCAGGTGAGATGAAAATGTCCTGCGTCTTACAGAAGGCAAATATTTTTGTTCTATGTTTCTAGATATTTATAGGACAAATACTCTTTTTATTGGGTTAGTGGAACCAAAATTGTTTTTTTAGATTTGAAAAGATGACCCACAGAGATTCTTGCATCTCTTAAGAACACCTGCAGAGTTTGCAGCTCTGTCCGCACTGAGGACATTAAGTTCAAGTTTCATTTCTTTCACCAAAGTATTTATTCTGTTCTGTGGACAAAGCAGTGACAAGACATCCTTTGTTGACTTTGTAATGGTTTGGCAGCCAAAACGTTGTATTTATGTAGGGATTTCTCACTATACAAATTAGAAGCCTGTGGACAATTGTACATACCAGTATCTGTAGGTGGACTGTCCTTTTAACAACATAATTGAATTCCTCTTTAGTCATCCTAATCTTGGAATGAACATACAAATATTTTATTACCCCCAAATCAGTCCTAAATTATAAAAGTTAACACCAATGGTGGCCACACAACTGTCACAGACTTGAATCTATATGCAATAGAAGTGGCGGTTCTAGGGTTTTGGTAACAATGGAGGTGGCGGAGATGAGGAATGCTGGCTGATCAGAGTGTCACCTGGTATTCACCAAAACAAACCTCAAGGGGTGATGGGCTTTGTGGCAGGGCAGCTCCTAGGTTGCAGCTTTCAAGTGCACCCATGCAAGCTGACCAGATACCAGGAATACTCTGGAGATACCAGGGACCATAACACAAAGGGGCACAGAAGGGAGTAACAAGCAATGTTGGAATTGCAATAAGGCACGAGTGCTAAAATCTCTGGGATCACTGGGGGTGCTAGACACACGGAAAGGCAGGAGTGCTAAAGTCTCAGGGAGCAATGGGGTGCTGGACACACGGTAAGGCAGGAGTGCTAAAGTGTCCGGGGCAACGGGGTGCTAGACACACGGAAAGGCAGGAGTGCTAAAGTATCGGGGAGCAATGGGGTGCTGGACACACGGGAAGGCAGCATTGCCAAAGTCCCTGGGAGCACTAGGGTGCTGGACACACCGGAAGCATGGAGTGCTAAAGTCTCTGGGAACACTGGGGTGCTGGACACACTGGAAGCCTGGAGTGCCAAAGTCTGTGGGAGCAATGGGGTGCTGGACACATCGGAAGGCAGGAGTGTAAAAATCTCTGGAAGCAGTGGGGTGCTGAACACACAGGAAGCTCACTTGGTCTACACAGGGCACACAGGTGCATACATACTGGAAAGTTACCAGAAAGCACAGGAGTCCTGAGGAGGTGCTGAGTACAGAAAGGCAGGAAGCCACAGGGTTTCACAGGGATTCTTTGGAAATGAGTCAACCTCAGAAGTCACAGGGGGTTCGGCAGGTAGGGTACTGACACATTGCTCAAACTCCAAGCAACATGTGCGGTAGCTCTGCAAGATTGGCTGTGGCACTGGCATCCTCTGATTGCATGCCGGCAGCCTTGTACAGGGGTATAGTCCCGGCACTGGAACGAGTCACAAGTGAGGATGACAACAACATTACCAATAATGCAATGGATTGTTTTAATATTGTTTCTAGTTATAAGGTAACCTGGCCTTCCAGATGCAATTTTGGGGCTTTGGTGTGATCAGGACTCCCACTGCTGATTTATCTATCCTTTTAACGAAATACTGTACATTACCCAAGGTGCTCCATACAGGTCTAGGCACCTTGTGATCAGAAAGTTCTACCGAATCATATATTTTACACTTCCGTCTTCAAAGTATAAGATTTATTTAAACAATCTGTTGCATTTTTCGCTGCATTTTTGTGTTGTTGTGATTACAGAATGAAAATTCTATTAAGCCACAACAGCTTTGTCCTTTCTCAAGGCAGCGGTTTTCATACTTTCTGACTGTGAGAGTAGTTAGTGGGTTGCACTGATTGCAGAGAACCCCGACAGGTTAATTGTGTTTTACACCCAGCTGTGCTTTGCAGTGTTCTATAATTTTGCATTATGGGTCTTACAGTAATGGAGGCCACTATTATTAGAGTTGGCTTAAACCCAGAAACTCCAGGGGTTTATATATCCCATGCCGAGCGTTCTATATACCCCGAATGATGCATTCTTAACCCTCGTGCTTGGCCCTTTTCTCTGTATGGATTTTCCTCTTGGCTTCTGATTAGAAATAATTGTATTTTCTTAAAGCGCTATTGATTGCTACCTCTGAGATGATACTTGAGAAAATAAAAAGCTTAACCTGTGGTGACAGTCTATAGCATTAGTTTTCTATTATTTTCTGATTTTTATTAAAGTTTGTTCAATGTATTTGATGTTAAGGGGTATGCGGAGTGCATGGAGAGAATACATTTCAGTAATACCGTTATTAGTCTGAATATGACAAAGCTTATTTAATGCAGGCAGAACTTGTGCTGTAAGTAAGAGTAGCCAGTCAGTTAGTGACTTCAATTAACTGCACAGCAGGCTGCCCTGGATACAGTGCTAAGTTGTTCTATGTTATTAAAAATGAGTCCTTGATGCTTTTATTGTATGTGCAGTCATCTATTATTTTAAGGGATAATTTTACTTATAGAACACATTACCCCTTTAATAACGCCAAGGACACCAAGCACGTTTGCAAATGCCAGTGTGTAAAATACGTCACGCCCACCACACACGCTGAGGACATGCGTCTGGCCCTCTTCTCCCGGTGAGCTTCCCAACTTGCCGCTGCCCGCCGACAACCAACAACAACAACGCCGCTGCCCGCCGACAACACCGTCATTCATGGTAAGTCGAGATCGGCCAGGAGCTTTTTTAATATTTCCTGTTTTTTTTTTTTTAAAGCGGCACACTGCAGAACATTATCAGCTATAGACCCTGTATAATGTATTATTGCTGGGATTTGTTGTTCCTCTACAGCT